CCCTACATACACATGAAAAAGGGAGTCAGCAGCATTGGCAGTGAACATCTGTTACAAATATTCATTTCGCTAGTATTACTTAGCAAAAATAGGCTGGCCAAGATGGTGGAGTAGGAAGACCCTGAGCTCACCTCCTCTCATGAGCACACCAAAATCACAACTATTTACAGAGCAACTATTTATGAGAAAGACCAAAATCTAGCAGAAAAGATCATCTACCACTAAAGGTATAAAGAAGGAACCACAACAAGATGGGTAGGAGAGGCAGAATTGCACATAGTCAAGATCCACACCCCAGGAGTGGGTGACCCACAAATGTAAGAATAATTACAACTGCAGAGGTACTCCTCAAGGAACGAGGGGTCTGAGCCCCATATTGGGCTCCCCAGCCCAGGGATCCTGCACCAGGAAGACAAGCCCCCAGCTCCAAGAATGTTTGGCTTTGAAGGCCTGCAGGGATTAAATTCAGGAGTCCCAGAGGGCTGGGGAAAATAGAGACTCCCCTCTTAAAGGGCTCACACAAAATTTCACACTCCAGAAACCAGGGCAGAAGCAGTAATCTGAAAGGAGCCTGTCAGACTCATTTGCTGATCTTGGAGAGTCTACCAAAGAGGCAGCAAGCAACTGGAGCTCACCCTGGAGACACAGACACTGGCAAGCGCCATTCTGGAATTCTCCCTCTAGCTGACTGACACCAGGACCCAGCCTCACCCACCAGCCTGTTCACACCAGTACTGGAACGCCTCAGGCCAAGCAATCAGCTGGACAACCACCAGCAGACGGGCTGCCTTAAGACCTCCTGAGCCCGAGGCACCTCAGGACATGGTCCTATCCACCACAGGGCCCAGGACCCAGTGCCATACAACAGTGTGCCAGCACTAGCCTCAGGACCCCCAGGGCCTGGCAGCTAGAAATCCTGGGACCCAGCTCCAGCCACCAGCCAGCCAGCACTAACCCCAGAACATCCTGGGCCTTGGCTTCACTCAACAACAATTTAAAATCAGCTCTGGGACACTGGGCCCTGCAGCCAGAGACCCTAGGAGTCAGCTCTGCCCACCAGTGGGCCAGCACTAGCCCCAGGACCCAGATTCACCTACTGGCTCCAGGATCCCCTGGACACCAACTCCACCCACCAATGGGCAGACACCAGCCCCAGGACCACTGCAGCCCTACAGCCTACCTTGTTGGACACAGCCAACACAGCAGATTGGCACCAGCTCCAGGACTCCCGGGCCTGGGCCCCACCCACCAGCAGACCAACACCAGCTCTGAGAAACCTTGGAGGCCTCAGCCAGCTGCCCTGGGATCCAGCCCCACTCACCAATGGGCCAGCACCAGCTTTGGAATACCCCAGAACCTGCAACCAGCCATATCAGGAACTGGCCCCACCCACCAGCAGGCCAACACTAGATCCAGGAACCCCAGCCCTGTAACCACCCACCTCAGAACCTGGCTCTGCCCACTACTGAACCAGCAGTAGCCCTGGGACCCTCCAGGGTTCTGCAACCAGCAGCCTCATGACCCAGCCCCACCAACCAGTGGCTGGCAGGGTCCACACAAGGCAGGGCCTGGAAACCAACTGGGCCAAAGGCCAGCCATGCCTACTAGACCAATGACATCAGTAAGCCCACCACACAGAAGGACCCATGCACCCGACATAGGGGGCACCCCTAGAGCGTATAGCTCTGATGACCAGAGGGGAGTGAGCTGCTGGGACACACAGTGTACCTCTTACAAAAGGCCACTTCTCCAAGATCAGGAAACATTACCAACCCACCAGATACATAGAAATAAAAAAAGAGCAAGTTAGGCAAAATGAGGCAACAGAGGAACATGTTCCAAACAAAGGAAGAAGATAAAACCCCAGATGAAGAAATAAGTGAAGTGGAGATAGGCAATCTACCTAAGAAAGAGTACAGGGTGATGATCATAAAGATGATCAAAGAATGCTGGAGAAGAATGGAGGAACACAGTGAGAAGTTTAACAAAGAGTTAGAAGATATAAAGAACTAAACAGAGATGAAAACTACAACAAGTGAAATGAAAAATACACTAAAAGAAATCAGCAGTAGATGAAATGATACAGAGGAATAGATCAGGGAGATGGAAGACAGAGTAGTGGAAATCACTGAAGCTGAACAGAAAAAAGAATAAAAAGAAAACAGTTTAAGAGACCTCTGGTACAAAATCAAGTGCACTGGGCTTCCATGGTTGCGCAGTGGTTGAGGGTCCGCCTGCCAATGCAGGGGGCATGGGTTCGTGCTCCGGTCCGGGAAGATCCCACATGCCACGGAGCGGCTGGACCCATGAGCCATGGCCGCTGAGCCTGCGCATCCGGAGCCTGTGCTCCGCAACGGGAGAGGCCATAACAGTGAGAGGCCCGCGTACCGCAAAAAAAGAATAAAAAGAAAACAGTTTAAGAGACCTCTGGTACAAAATCAAGTGCACTGGGCTTCCATGGTTGCGCAGTGGTTGAGGGTCCGCCTGCCAATGCAGGGGGCATGGGTTCGTGCTCCGGTCCGGGAAGATCCCACATGCCACGGAGCGGCTGGACCCATGAGCCATGGCCGCTGAGCCTGCGCATCCGGAGCCTGTGCTCCGCAACGGGAGAGGCCATAACAGGGAGAGGCCCGCGTACCGCAAAAAAAAAAAAAAAAAAAATCAAGTGCACTAATATTCACATTATAGGGTCTCAGAAGGAGAAGAGAGAGAGAAAGGGGCAGAGAACATATGTGAGGACACAGTAGGCTGAAAACTTCCCTAGCCTGGGAAAAGAAACAGACATGCAGGTCCTGGAACACAAACAAGATCAACCCAAAGAGGTCCACACCAAGATACACTGAATTAAAATGGCAAAAGTTAAAGAAAGAATATTGAAAAGGGAAAAGCAACAAGTTACATACAAAGGAACTCCCATAACGCCATCAGTGGACTTTTCAGCAGCTCTGCAGGCCAGATGGGAGTGGCAGAATAAACTTAAGGTGATGAAGGGAAAATCTACAAACAAGAATACTCTACTCAGCAAGACTTCCATTCAGATTTGATGGAGAAATCAAAAGTTTTACAGACAAGCAAAATCTAAGAGTTGGGCACCACCAAACCAGCTTTACAAGAAATGGTAAAGGTATTTCTCTAAGTGAAAAAGAAAAGGCTACAAATAGAAACATGAAAATTATAAAAGGAAAAAGCTCATTGGTAAAGGCAAATATTAGGTAGTAACTCAACCATGTACAAAGCTAGCAGGAAGGTTAAAAGACAAAAATCATCTATATCCACAATAATTAGTTAAGGGATACACAAAACTAAAAGACGTAAAATATATCAAAAACAATAATCAGGACTTCCCTGGTGGTCCAGTGGTTGGGACTTCACCTTCCAATGCGGGAGGTGTGGGTTCGATCCCTGGTCAGGGAGCTGAGATCCCACATGACTTGCAGCCAAAAAACCAAAACATAAAACAGAAGCAATATTGTGACAAATTCAATAAAGAGTTTACAAGAAAAAACAATAATCATGGCGAGTGTGGGGGAGTAAAAATGTAGGGTTGTTAAAATGTGTTTGAAATGAAGAGATCAGAGACTTAAAATAATCATATATATTATATTACATTACATTATATTATATATAGATTGCTATATATAAGCCTCACGGTAACCACAAACCAAAAATCTACAATAGATAAACACCAAGAAAGAGAAGGGAATCCAAACAAAACTAAAGATAGTCATCAAATCAAAAGGGGAGAGAAGAAGACAGGAACATCAAATCAAATCAAAACGGGAGAGAAAAAGACAGGAACAAAAAAAAAGAACTACAAAAAACAACCCCCAAACAATTAACAAAATGGGAGTATATACCTATCAATAATTAAATGTAAATAGACTAAATGCTCCAATCAAAAGGTATAGAGTGGCCGAATGGATATAAAAATAAGACCCATACATATGCTACCTATAAGAGACTCATTTTGGATCTAAAGATACACACAGACTGAAAGTGAGGGGATAAAAAAAGGTATTCCATGCAAATGGAAATCAAAAGAAGTTGGGATAGCACTATTTATATCAGACAAAATAGACTTTAAAACAACAACTGCTACAAGAGACAAAGAAGGACATTACATAATGACCAAGGAATCAATCTTATATAACAATTGTAAATAGATATGCACCCAACACAGAAGTGCTATATACATAAAGCAAATATTAACAGACACAAAGGGAGAAATTGACAGTAACACAGTAAGAGTAGGGGAATTTAATACTCCACGTATATCAATGGACAGATTATCAAGACAGAAAATCAATAAGGAAACACTGGCCTTTAGTGACACATTAGACCAAATGGACTTAATAGATATTTAGAACATTCCATCCAAAGCAGCAGAATACACATTTGGTTCAAGTGTAAATGGAACATTTTCTAGCACAGATCACACAATATGCCACAAAACAAGATTCAATAAATTTAAGAAAGTTGAAATCATATCAAGCACCTTTTCCAACCACAACCCTATGAGACTAGA